ATATATTGTATATGAATTTGGATTTTAAATAGACAATTTTATTTTCTATTTAAAATCTTAATTTATAGTTTATTTATTAAACGATGCATAATTTTAAAATCTATATATGTATATATATTTTGATAATATTAGAAATTGTTTGAAGGGTCTTGTGGCACCCCTCAAAACTTTTTTCATTCAAAAAAATGTAAGTTCTTTTATATTTTAATATATTAAATACATTAAGTTTTCTTTAAAACGATATAAAAATTTCATCAACTCTCTTCCAAATCGGTGCAAATCTGCAGTTCAAAATAGGGGATATGGAATTATAATTATACATATAGATGTATATAAAAAATGAAATACTTGTGAAAGTGTGTGAGTACTATTTACAGGGGTCGGATCCGCGATTTTTATTGACTGTAGCAAAAAGTCATTAATAAAAAATATCCGTATTAAAAAATAATAAATAAAAAATATATATTCTATGTGGTCTACCTATGCTGACTCGCTCGTCTAAAAGAACTAAAATTTATTGATAGTGGGGGAAGGAAGAGTACCACACACGATTTCTGCCAGTACTGTATGTAAAGTGGCTTATAGTGAGTGATACATGAGGTCCCCTAGCACTGTTTTCTTTCCTAGTCCGTTTAGAACGGAAGAACATTACTTGATTTACGCGACGTTAAAGCCTCCTAGTTAAACTGAACACTTTTTGACGAAATAATATTATACTTGTCTTTTATGATTTTTAATCGTGACTAAAACCATAAACGGAACCGTTATCCTCAGTCGTTGTATTTACATTTAATTCCTGGTATTTCTATTGCCAGTCAATGTATTAATGCCAAATAATACATAAAAAAATATCATATGATATCAAAAGTATCATATATATTTAAATCAACAAAATATTGTGGTTGTTAAAATATATTTTGGTCCGCAAAAAAATTGGGGGTTGATATTTGAAAATGAAAATGACAAATTTATTTTAAATCTGTTTAAAATTCAATTTTTTAATTTAATTGTTTAAAACACATAATGTTTTATTTAATGGTTTCCTTTATAAAATATCTAAAAATTAAAATGGATACTGCAACGATTTATATAAATTTACAAAAACATTTTTTTTTAAATAAACTTCATGGCTTCATTTCAATAAACTTTTTGTCAAATAATAAAAAAAAGAAATAGGTTTTAAATTATATAAAAAATAGAACCAAACGTTGCTTTTTGAATAAAAAGTATATTGCTTTAAATAAAGAAAGAATGCTTTTAAAATCCCAAAACAGCAAACTTCAGGCATCTTACAATTAACAACGATACAATTAACAAATCTCAGCATAATAAAAACAAAATAATAAAAACGGTAACAAAATAATAAAAATAATAATAACAGCAAATAATAAAAACAAAAGTGTCAATGAATAAATGTCAACCTAACAAGACAAATTTAATATGATGGTTCTTTGTTTAAAATGACATAGTTCTTTGTTTAGTTTTGTTGTAGTGCAGTGGTTTTCAATAAAATGATATAGGAAAGCAAATTGTGGTGATAACACTCAATTTTTATAAAGTGATGCAGTAAAGCATAAAAGTATTGAATATTGAAGTCAAACAAACTTTATCTTTAATGAAGTTGAAGAAAAGCCATTAAACAGTATTGTGAAAAGAACGTTTTAATCCGCCTATTTCAAATGATTTTAGACATTGACCAAAGTTTAAAAAATAAAACATCATGCTGGTCAAAATTTCATATCATTAAGCAAATCATATTTTCAAAATGCATGTTATTATAAACATGAGACATCTTTGGTTTCAAAGAATACTTAAAAAATATGTCTACAGATACTTAAATTTCTAAATTCCTTTTCAAGTAATTCTGTCACAAATTTTACCAACGTAAAAAGTTTGCAACAAAAGTGTTTAATAGCGCTTTAATCAGCTAGACTATTTCTTCGCATGTATAATTTGCGAAATGTCTTGTGACTTATGTTGGTTTTGTATGCCTAATTTCTGATTTTTTTTTTTTTAATGCATTATGCTGTATTGCCAAATTCATTAACTTTCTTTGTTTATCATTTAGATCCTTGGGGAAGCTTGTTGATTGTTATTAAACCACACTTTTTAGCTTGAGAGTTTACTGTCATTATGTGACAGCAAGTTTAACAAAATCACCTGTCTTGTTAAAGTTAAAAACACTTTTAGAAAGAAAATTCATATCATTGATTTTCCGAAAACAGCAACTTCCCGATACAATAACATTTTTGTAACATACCCCTTGTCACAGAGAATAATAGTTGCTAGTAAAAAGATCCTTGCAATTTTAGACTAAAAATCTATTTGAGAGAAAAGTTGTGCAAAAGTGTTTTTTAGTTTAACTTTTTTGAAGTTTTTATGCCAACCAGATCATATACTAAAATGTTGCTAGACGTTTTAAAACTCGCATTAGACAAACATTCTATTTAACGTGTTTTCTCCTTTTTGTCTCTGGAAAATCTATAAATTTTTTAAAACGTTTATAAATCGTTTGGCTTCATCAATAATAAATAACTCGTGGAACAACAACAAACACATTTCACCATTTTTTATAAACATAAACAAATTTCACCATTTTCATAAAAGACTAAGTAAAGAAACCAAAAGTCGGTATTTAATTTAATCTTAATAATTATAAAATCTTATTCATTTAATGATTGCTATCCACATCGTTAAAAAGAAAGTTTTATAATCGGAGAGTGGATATTTAACAGATCTTCTGCCTCTACTACAAATTTTCTGTTTTCGGTACAGGTTCTCGCTTAATGACTTTTAGTCACTACGTAAGACCTCCTTGTTAATAAAAAGATTTGAGCTGAATAAGCTAAGTTTATAATAAAGTATCGGGGGTATATATAGAGTCGTTTTAAAACATGACATATTGACTTTTGCTACAGTCGATTTGCCATTTTATTTAACTCATAGTTCAATTTAAATTGATACGCTGCGAAATGTTTGACCTTCTTTCAAAAATTTATGGGCTTGTGAGACAAAATCCGTTAAATGCATGGGTTTTTCAGTGAAGCATTTCATTTTTTCGAATGAATTATTTCCGTATCATATTTAACTTGGCTCATCTACGATTTCGAATAAATTTTTGAAGCGCCGCATTTTGACTACATGTAACCTCCATACCTAAGTTAAATTATTTTTCTCTGTTACATGAAAAAAGAAATGTATGTAACAAATAAGAAGAGAAGTTAAGCTAAGCTGACTGTAGCAATGGCTTCACTTGCTACAGCCTGGATCCGTTCCTGATTTATCGATTTTAATGATTTTTTTAGATAGCTCTGGCTGAAACATTCAAGCATGAAAAACTGCTTTTAGGTACGCCTGATTCTTATTGGCATTGGTTGCGTCAAATTATGACTGGCAAACGTCAACAAATGTATGATATTGTTAAAGAAGCTAAATTGAAGCCTATTATGCCAGACGGTGGCTACTTTATGCTAGTTGATATTACTGGTTTGAGTAAGTTATACTTTTTCTTAGCTTATTTATATATGACCTGGCGCATTACTGATTTGACTTTTTTTTTAATTTTCTTTTATAAAGATGTTGATCGAAGTGGATATGACGATGGTACTCCGCTCGATAAGATAGTCCAACAATGGCTGATTAAAGATAAAGTAAGACCTCTTTTTTTTTTACAAATTTTTAAAAAAGTTTAAAAGTATGTTACATTTTTTTTTTAAATTAGTGTTTCTCTTACAAAAACTTATTTATATTTTTATAACTTATTTTTATATTTTTTTTTGTTAACAATTTTAAAAATAATCTTTATATATAAGTAATTTTTTGGTTTTAATTTTGTTGTATACCTGTAGGAAATAAGTAGGGTTTTATTTGTGAACGGTTTGTATTTCAAAAGTAAAAAAAAAAAAAAAATGTTAAAACAGTTCATTTAAAAGAATATAGGACATACTTCTTTTCTTTGTTTGTATCAAATTTTTAACATGAATACTTTTTAGGGTTTGGCTATCATTCCATGCAGTGAATTTTATAGCGGTGGACACAAAAAAGAATTTGAGAACTTTATACGTGTCTGCTTTATAAAGGTGAAGCACAACATCCTTTTTGAACTATTTCATATATATATATGTATATAAATATACATAAATATATATATATATATATATATATATATATATATATATATATATATATATATATATATATATATATATATATATATATGCATATATATATATCATTTATTGAATGTTTAATATATTTATAATATATACATATTATTATATATATATAAACATATGTTTATTTATATATTCGTACATATATATCTAAATGTATATATATATATATATATATATATATATATATATATATATATATATATATATATATAATATATATATATAAAGTATATATATATATATATATATATATATATATATATATATATATATATATATATATATATATATATATATATATGTATATGTATATGTATATTTATATGTGTATGTATGTGTGTGTATATATACATAAACATTTTTTTTTTTTTCTAGATCTTTATATAAACATATATATACATGTTTTAATAAATACATATATACATTCATGCTTTTTTTTAAACAGAAAAAGTCATTCCGTCTTTTTTGTTTGGTTGTTTTTGTTGTTGTTGTTTTTTATTTCCCTTCATTATGAAAATTAAAACGCATGTTAGAAAAAAATATTCAATTTGTTTATGAAGTTAAATGTTAAATAATATCATATATGAAGTATACAAGTAACTAAAAAAAAGAGAATAAAAGAGTTCATTTAAGTTTAAAGTGTCTATAAATTCGGTCGATTATTGCAAACTATTCGGCCGAATACCAGATTGAAACCCGAAATCGAAATACGAGAAACCTGCATAAAAATAGATTCATTAAATATATTTACTTAAATTTTAACAAATTTGATACTTAAAATCTATAGGTGGTATGTTATGATAAAACATTTTTGTCGTTTAATAATAGGAAATAGTTGCGAGTTTTATAAATAATAGGTACTTGCAAAAACAGCCACTTACTGAGTGCCCTGCCACTGCCAAATAATAATAAGTTCTAGCAAAGTTCTGTTTGGATTATGTTTTGCATTTGATGACCACAACATCTAAAGGGTTGCTGTTTAATTTAGGCGAACAGTTTCATGTAAAAACTAATATCATTTGCAATTGGATTTTACGTATATTTTCTAAATGATTATTTTATTTTAAATGTTTTATCTTGACATAAAATTGATATAAAAATCAGTCAACTCAGGAAAAATAAAATTCTATAAATCCGCATTATAATCTATTGTTTCGATGTGCAATGTTTTTTCTGTATAAACAATAAAATCAATTGTTTTACTTTCTGTTAGTGCCATAACACCTTGACTCTAATAATTTTAAGGATGCTTTACTTTTAATTTTGGAGTACCGTTGCTAAGTTTCAAACAAACGTTTTTATCCTGACATGCTTCTTCAATTGTTAAATGTTTTTTTGATTAAGGGCATTTCACTTTAATTACTTTTTCAGAACTTACTACTCCATCAACTACAAATGCTTATTTGGGGTTTATAAAAAAACGACATTGTGTAACACTTGACTTTGTTATGCTGTTGCCCATATACAGCTTTCTCCTACTTTTACACTTTTAGTTTGTAGAGCTTCTTTCAAAATAGACACGTGTAAATTTATTTATATCTATTCTTCACACTACCATAATTTGACGCTGTTTTTTGTTTGCTTCATTCTTGATGCCATAATTTGCTTTTGAATTGCTTAACTGAATTGACTTCAATAATTTATGCTTCTTTAACGTCAACGCCTAAATACAATTCTCCAAATGCTTTTTGTTCAGAAGACAAACAAGAAAAATCAATCTTATATTCTAAATTATCAAATAGAGTATTAATAATTAATATGTCATCTTTTTTACAAAAAGGTTCTGCAATATCATTTTCTATAATTATTGACATAGACAAAATAAAAAATGTACATGTTTCACAATTGTTATCACGAATTATTTCAGAAAAATATGTCCTCTGGCAGAGATTTTCTAAACCTTCACAAAGTGTTTGAAGATGTAAAGTTAAAGTTTCATAAGAATTTGGTAATGAACAATATTTACGGGTTCCTGAAACTTAAGACCTTTTTCGAGTATTATTTTTGACTTTAAAAGGGTCAGGTTTTTCAAAATTTTGAAAATAAAATTGCTTCAGAGTTGGTTGATTCACCTGAAACATGCCATAACTGTAAAATGTCAGCATAAAGTAATGATTGTTAGGCAAAACGGTTCCCTCTGGACAATCGTTTATAACGCTAATTCAGAATAGCAATCAGCGATTGCAAAACAAGCTAATCCCATTTGCGAATTGCACGACAACTGATTACGAAAGTATCGTGCTTATAGATTCTTTTTCATCTACAGTAACGAATTCGTCATAGTCAAGTTCACGAAAACCAGCTTTAGATGCTAGACAAGAGCTCTGAGAAGAATTAGCATCAATTTTTTTTTTTTAAATTAGCATTAAAAGAACTCATCTCTATAATATTATCTATTTCAAGAAAAATTTTGCGCAGATTGTTTAGGTTTAAATAAATACAACAACCACAATGCATTGCGCGCTTGACGTTTTATGGGAAAAGTCAAATATTAAAGCTTTAAAAACTTGAGATTTAGCAAAAATGTTCAAATAAGTTTTCCTATAAAATAGACATACAAAATTATGAATTCATATTAAAAACAAAAAGATCTTTAAAAAACAAAGAAAAAAAGCAAAAAATACTACTATTAAGTCTCTATGAAACCGCAGATAGTATTATAACATAGTTCTTAAAGTAGGTAGAAACCTATTTGTTGCGTAGAGAAATATTATTTGAGTTTGTTTCTTTTTATAAAAATGTTATAGCAAACAAGATTATGTGTTATATGTAAAGAGTTTAGAAGGGACTCTAACAATAAATCACATAGATAAGATTACATTCATATATATTTCATGAAAATACGCTCGTTGTATACAATTATAAACTTGGATCGCACCAAGTGCTCAACGTACAGCTCGTAGAGATTAAGGAAACGTAAGAGACGTTAATCCCATAAGAGACGTTAGAGACGTAAAAGAGCGAGTGTGACTTTGCACTCCGCTATACATACAATAACAAGAAACCTACTGGCTACTGCGTTAGCGGACTAACGCAACAACATGTGATGTTATGTTGCTGTATTAATTATCCTGATATTATGTTAAATATCCTGTCAAATTGTTACAGATTTAGCATTCAGTGCAGTTTTTTCAATGTCTGAACAAGTTATGACTCTGAAGATAAGACTCTGATATTAATATTAAAATATTGGTTAGTGGATTTCAGGAGACATTAGCAATTTTATGAAGCAAAACATAACAAAATATGGTCCACTGACAAACATTGCCGTTTAGTATTTTTAAACCTCCACAAATAATTTTAGCAACATAATTGCCGAACTCTTCTTATAAAGTTTAGCTTCTTATTGCTCTTTAACTTCATTTGGCATGATATACCCAGTTATATATACTAATCCTGCTTCTCTACCTATTTGCACATTATTTATATATTTAGTAAACCCGATATATTCATAACGTATTTCCCCATTATATTCATAACAGATTTAAGTTGACGCACAAAGTCTTACAAACAAAAACATATTTTTGTCTTTGGTCAACCATGGATCAACACATTGAAATATTTTAAATATTGCTTAACTTACACAATTATTATCACATGTTATGGCAACCGGTATCCCTCCACCGCTCTTTATTCCCTCTAAAACAAGAGTTTGTTGAAACAGAAATTTGGAATAAAGATCAAAAACTGGCAAAATTCTGCATAGATATTGTGGTCCTCTATAATGTGACACTAACATAAAACTTTAAAAAGTAGTTGCTAAAGAGTCTGTTTTACTTACTGCTTTTCCAAAAATTGAGCAAGCATGGTAAGTAAGAGAAGGTTTGTCGTAAACTTTGTCAATCGATAACAAACACCTTTTTTGAATTTCATTTTCAAGTTTTGAAATAACTGAGTTTACAAACGCTTTATCACCAATTGAAGAATTCAGTTTTGAAGTTAGCTTTGTTAGAAGAAAATTACTTGGAAGTTTATAATCTTCCCTTATTTTCCTATATGATGATCTTGAAAGTGCAAACATTCAAATGCTCGGAAAACAATTCCTTGTGGTATATTTATTTTTTCCTGTGGTAGAGTAGAACTTATATCATGGATGCGTTGCAATATGCGTTAAAAAATTAACAGCATCTTGTAATTTTGAGCAGGAATTGTTATTAAAATCTTGTTTTCAAATATAAATCTGAAGATCTTAATCATTCTTGATCCTATGTTGACTGAATGATCAGTAACTGTTTACCAGCTAAATTGCAAGTATTTACCAGTTAGTTCAGTAACTGTTTCTAGAACTGTTCCTAGAACTGTTTTAGATCTAGCTGTTCTAGATCTAACTATTCTAGATCTAACTTTTTAGATCTAACTTTCGCGATCTAACTTTCGCGATCTAACTTTCTAGATATTTTAGCTGTTTCTTGAACTGTTTCTAGAACTGTAAGCTAGATAAGTAACTGTTTATCAGCTAATATACATTAACTGAACCAAAATCAAATTATTTATTATTTAACTTCTGATGTAATCAGCTAAATGATGTAATTTTATCAACAGCTATAAATATATCAAGTTCGTCGGATATATTGTTCCGGACAGATTGAGAAGTGTTTAAAGTTGTTCTTAATGGCGGTGTAAGCGCAAGTATTTAACTAGGTTTGACACATATAAAACCTTGTATGACTAAGTTTGGTTACTGTTGGATATCCAGATATCCAACAGTAATCAAATTTAAAAAAATGATGTAATCTATTTTTTTAATTTGGTAAAAACACTTCTTTTAAATAAGTAACCAAATTTAAAAGAAAGTGTCTTTCGCAAACAACTGTATCTGGACTGTCAGGTATATTTTCGTGTGGTGTAGCACTCAACAAACGAGTATATTGTTCTTTTCCATTAAGAAGCCGGATAACGTTTTC